CGTCTTGACGATAATGGCCCAAAACTCGGTCCAATTGACGACAAAAATCCTCTCATTGAATCCTACTTCACCAGATTACCCAAGAACTCTACTACCTCCAAACACAATCAAGAGGACCTTGCTTTGGCAAATAACGGTTGGATTTGGGCTGCAAATGCACTTATTGACAATGCCGGTCCCAAATCTCGTGCGTATTTGCGCCGTGAAGTTATTGTCTGGGGTGACTGTGTAAAGTTGCGTTATGGAGAATCTCGCGAAGACAGTCCCTTCTTGTGGGACTTTATGGCGAAATACACACGCCTCATGGCGAATTATTTCACGGGTTTCCGTATCGATAATGCACACTCTACACCTATTCATGTGGCTGAATTTCTTCTAGACGAAGCAAGAAGAATTAGACCAAATCTTTATGTAGTTGCCGAACTGTTCACCGGGTCAGAAGAAATGGACTATGTTTTCGTCAAACGTCTTGGTCTAAGTTCACTCATCAGAGAAGCAATGCAGGCTTGGAGCACTGGCGAAGTCAGTCGTCTTGTTCATCGACATGGCGGTAGACCTATTGGTAGCTTCGAGGTCGACGAAGTATCAGGTGCAGAACAGAATACACCCCATGGTAGATCCAATGGATCGACTCCAGGCAAAGAAATCATTCGCACCATCAGATATACTCCAGTACATGCTCTTTTCATGGATTGTACTCATGACAACGAAGTTCCAGCTCAAAAACGTGATGCCCGAGACACTTTACCAAATGCTGCATTGGTTGCTATGTGTTCAAGTGCCATTGGTAGCGTCATGGGCTACGATGAAATTTATCCTAAGCTAGTCGAAATCGTTCATGAAACGAGATTGTACACTTCTGCTTCTTCCGAAAAGGAAGTCAAGACTGGAGCTGGCGAAGGTGGTATCGGTGGTGTTAAGAAACTTCTCAATCAAATCCATAGTATTATGGGTAAGGATGGGTACGCAGAAACATACATTCACCACGAAGATCAGTATATCACTGTTCATCGAGTGCATCCCGAATCCAGAAAGGGATACTTCCTTATTGCACATACTGCTTTCCCTGGTTATGGCAACGGAAATGGAGGTTTTAACCCAGTTCATCTTGGGGGCACTAAGGCGAGCCATCTTGGCAGCTGGATGCTGGAAGTCGACACTTCTGAAGAGGCAAAGAAGGAAGCATTAGAGGACAAGAAGTTTCTAAGAGGATTACCTAGCAAAGTTTCTAATCTTCCCGGGGTCCGCATGGAATACAAAGACGGAGAAACGACAATTTCCGTTCGAGACAAATTCCCTCCCGGAAGTATTGCATTGTTCGAGACTTGGATACCTGCTGCTGAGCATGCAACTGGTCTCGATACATTTGTTACCTCGGGAGCAAAGGCAGCGTTCTCAGAATTGGACTTGGTTGATTTGAACGTCGTTCTTTATAAATGTGAAGCAGAAGAGCTCGATGCTAGTGAGGGTAAAGATGGAGTTTACGACATTCCTGGCCATGGTAAACTTGTATATGCTGGTTTACAAGGTTGGTGGAGCGTGCTCAAGAATATCATCAAAGACAATAACTTGGGACATCCCATGTGCAATCACTTGAGAGAAGGACAATGGGCACTTGACTATATCATCGGTAGATTGGAGAAAATGTCAAACAGGTCCGGTTATGAACGACTACAAAAGCCAACGGCTTGGTTGAAGGAACGTTTCGATGCAATCCGAAAAATGCCAAGCTTTTTGCTTCCCCGTTACTTTGGTCTAGTCATTCGAACTGCTTACCGAGCTGCCTGGGAGCGAAGTTTGGCATTGATGAATGAGAATGTCCGTGAGGGACAGTGGTTCTTACAAGATTTAGCTATGGTTAGCGTTCAACAGACTGGTTATGTCAATTCTGCATCTTTGTACCCCAAAAAGGCAGTGCCCTCTTTAGCAGCCGGCTTGCCGCATTTTGCAGTCGAGTGGGCTAGGTGTTGGGGTAGGGATGTATTCATTTCTGCAAGAGGTCTCTTCCTTGGTACAGGTCGCTATGCTGAAGCAAGAGAACATATTCTCGCATTCTCAAGTGTCTTGAAGCATGGTATGATACCTAACTTGTTGAGCAGTGGTAACTTGCCACGTTACAACTCTCGAGATTCAATCTGGTTCATGTTACAAACCATTCAAGACTATACCAACATTGTACCAAATGGATTGGATCTTCTGAAAGAGAAGGTGCCCCGACGATTCTTGCCTTACGATGATACCTACTTCGATTCTGATGATCCAAGAGCATACTCAAAGACATCAATTTTAGAGGATATCATTCAGGAATCTTTGCAACGTCATGCATCCGGAATGTCATTCAGAGAAGCAAATGCCGGTCCAAATCTCGACATGCAAATGAGCTCCGAGGGATTCAACATTGACATCAAAGTTGATTGGTCAACTGGTCTGATATTCGGTGGTAACCAACATAACTGTGGTACTTGGATGGACAAGATGGGAGAGAGTGAAAAAGCCAAGAGCAAGGGAGTTCCTGGTACACCTCGTGATGGAGCTGCTATTGAAATCACTGGTCTATTATACAGTACTCTTCGCTGGGTAGCAGAACTTCACGAGAAAGGCAAGTACAAGTATGCTGGCGTCAGCACTTCAGATCCAAAAATGCAAGTCATCACTTTCTCAGACTGGGCCGACAAGATCAAAGAGAACTTCGAACGTTGTTACTATGTTCCATTGGACGCTAAAGATGACTCCAAGTATGATGTGAATACTGCTATTGTCAACCGAAGAGGTATTTACAAGGATTTATACAAATCTGGCAAGGAATACGAAGATTATCAATTACGATCCAATTTCCCAATTGCCATGACGGTTGCCCCAGACCTCTTCGACGATGCTCATGCTCTCAATGCCTTATTCCTTGCGGATAAAGTACTTCGTGGACCTACTGGTATGGCAACTCTTGATCCAGCTGATCTTAATTACCGACCATACTACATCAACTCCGAGGATAGCGAAGATTTCTCAACTTCAAAGGGAAGAAACTATCACCAAGGTCCAGAATGGTTATGGCCAACTGGTTTCTTCTTGAGAGCTTTGCTGAAATTCGACCTCAAGAGAAGAAAGACCCCGGCGGCTAAGACGGAAGCTTTCCAACAAATCACGAGAAGATTGGCGGGCTGTAAAGAAGCTATTGTCAATAGTGATTGGGCTGGTTTGACAGAATTGACACAAAAAGATGGAGCTTATTGTCCCGATTCGGTATGTTTTTTCCTATATTTGTTGAGACAATCTGTGCTAATTTCATCGTAGTCTCCAACACAAGCTTGGAGTGCAGGTTGTTTGATCGATTTGTATCATGATGCTGCACAATATGACGTTTCTCAATTATCGAAATAGATAAATGAAATGTCAAAACGCAAAGAAGAAGACGGAAGCGGAAAATGTTAATGGGGCATGGGGACTGGAGGCTACGTATGACGATATGGTAAGCGATAAATCACTGGTTGATTGTTTATATGGAAAAACGAGCATGGGAATTGTAGAAAATGGGAAAGATGGAAAGGTTTAATGAGCAAAGAATTAGTAGATAGACATGATAATTTCGACGTTCATGATTGATTATGTTGACCGGATTTGATTTGCAATTTCTCTCCTATGTTTGTGCTATGCATATCGATTTATCTATTATTGAGCCTTAACCCTACCTCCTTGAAAATACGCCCTCCCGCTATATTCCTCGTTTTTAGATTCATAACGTGCCCACGGGTAGTAATAGATGATTGTTGATTGTGTGGGTGCTAGATAGTCGAAGTGAAAAGTGGATGGGAACTTTCGTCTCTGGGAAGGCTTGCTATTGTTGTTCTGGTGAGAGCAGCAGAGGGATAGGAGACAGAGGAAGAAGGGAGAAAGAGGAAGGGGGAGGAAGTTGAGAAGTAAGTATATGTAGTGAAAAGCGGATCTGGATTGGGTCTTGATTTGAATAGATTCAATCTTGATCTTGGGCTTTTATATCGTGTTTTAACTTTTAAGGCGTGTTGTAGGGTATATGGTAGGAGAGAGGGAAGAGGGAAGTGAATGTTTGGTGAGTTGAATTATGGGTTTGGGGTTGGGATAGGGGATTGTGTGGGAAGGAGGGGGAGGGGGGGAGTGAAGTTTGGTAGCGAGTAGCTGGAAGCTGGGAACTGGAAGCTGCAGAGAAAGGGTTAATGGGTGGAGAATTGAAGGGTGATGGAGAGTACAACGCTGACTTGTGTTTCCTTTTCTTCATATATTATCGTCTCTTCATGTCAACAATTTATTTCACGCCGTACGATTCGATTCGATTCGATTCGATAAGAAACCCCCATGATAAGATGGGTTTGGCCTCATAGAGATGAAGACAAATGAAGAGAAGCTACGTATTATTATTACCCTCTCGATTCAAGATTTTCATAAATTCACAACTGGGGTATAGGTACCTGGCTAATACATATCTATATTTATACTTCTCTCCACCTTTTCCATTCTCATCACATATCCTATTAACCCCCTCCCCGTAACTTTTGTTCATGAATACGTCACGGGTCTCGTAAAGATGATCAGTGTTGATTGTTTTTAACATCAGATGTGGAAGTATTTTGATAAGCTTAGTGATCGATGGTGTGGTTTTGGCTTCTTTTTCATATTTCGCACATGGACAGAGGATGGCAGGTTCGAGTTCGAGTTCGAGTTCGAGTTCGAGTTCGAGTTCGAGTTCGAGTTCATAGGTTGCGCCTGTGGATACGGAAGCGAGACCTAGAGAAGTCTTTGGAGAGATTGATTGGAGGGGATAATCTGGGTGAGGATGACAATTTTGGTATTTTGAGTGTTGGGAATGAATTTGAGAATAAAATTTCACGGTGAAAGGCCATTTTATTGTAAAGAATACACTTGTTTAGAAAGAAGTTGCTGAAGTAGAAAATTGAAGAGTACAACTGAAACTTCAGCTAGCCTAGCAAGACACGACTGTGCCTCATATCAGATTTACAACAAAGTCATCTCAATCAACATGGTCAAATTGTAGTAATCTTCTAAAGTTCGAGTACCAAGTAGATATATGAACGATACAGAAAATCGCAGCTACCCAAATCCATAAATCAGTATCTATCTTTCTTTTGACAAAAACGTCTATAAAGATAAGCTTATTTCCCCTTGATATTGTTGAGGCTGCTTCTATATTGAGCACCCTGCAAACCATTGACTCTTCCATATAGCCACTTAAGCACTGCGGTACTACCAGTCATCGTCAAGGCAGCTCCAGTGAACAAAATTGCTCTCTGTGTTGTATCAAGATGTCCAAATAATGGGTATGGGTAACTAGACCATCGATATTAGCATTCGATTTTTCGCCAGGCAATAATGCTCAGCTTTAGACTACTCACAATCCATTATACTTATAACATTGTTCTACCCAAGCCCAGTATGCAACGGCCAAGGTTGATGAAAGTCCCATAGCAGGCAATGCATTAATGGTCCATGGTGGACTCAAAAATAGTAGATCAATAGTCAACAAGATCGCTGGCATAGCGTGGAACCCGATATCAGCATATGGACTAATATAGATCTCGGGAGGCACCAAAAGCTTCTTGTCAATAGCCGAGATTCCCCAATACAACACGGAGATCAAAACTTCCAAAGGGGCAGAACATAATGAAAGAGAATTCTTGATCAAGAAAAGTCTTGGGGAAAGAGTGATGTCTGCGAGGAAACCGAAGACAAATGTCAAGAAAGCTAGAGTAAGACCAATGATGGTGAGGTATTGGAAATGCCAGCCATATGAGGAATTGATGAATGTTGGGAAGTCAAAAAGATATTTATAAGAAAGAGAAAAGGAAGCAAGGCCGATGAAATGAACGAGGGCGGAGATCGTCGGAGAGGGGGAGGGAAGACGTTGAAGGGGATGACGGGAGGTAAGTTTATTGGCTGCTGAAGTAGAACCCATGGTTGTTGAGTCCTTGAAAGTTTTGTAGTTGAAGTAAAAAATATGTAACGGTACCTGTTACCATGAATATATATAGATTCAAAGCAATGACGTCTACTATGTGGAGTAGCTGCAAGAATCTTAGATGAGGCTACCCAGCCTTGCACTACCAAAACACGCTAGTGTATCGTGGGCTCAGCCTTGTGATATTATTTCGTTCACGTCAACTTGATGTCTTGAACCCATCATTGGCATTCAAACAACACTTCTTCCTCACTTAACAAGTTTACAACCTTCATTCTATCAATATGGCTGATACAGCTTCAAATTCTAATAAACGCAAGCTCGATGTCGAAGACGAAGACTCCTCGTCCGACGATGATATGGGACCTCAACTTCCATCTGCGGAAGCTCCCAAAAAGAAGCGTCGCAAGCTTCCCTACGAAAAGCTCTATATCTCAGCTCTACCAACCTCTGCACGGTATTCAAAGTCTCTTATGCACAAAGAGCAGATTTCATTTGTTACCATGACACCATTGACGGACTTCCTCATCACAAGCTCTGTCGATGGAGTGGTTAAATTTTGGAAGAAAGGAGGCGACGGTATCGAATTTGTGAAGGAGTTTAGAACGCACATTGGAGAGATCAAGAGTGTTTCTATCAGTGCAGATGGACGAAGCTTTGCGACAGCTGGCGCGGATAAGACAATTAAGATATTCGACGTGATAACCTTTGATCTCTTGTCAATGCTAACTTTAGAATTCACACCGAAATGTGTCTGCTGGGTACATGGACGTGGCGCCTCCCTTCCAATGTTAGCTGTATCTGACGAAGTCAACCATACGATTCGGATATACGATGGCCGTGGAGAGAACCAGGAACCAATTCATACAATTTCCGGCTTACATCGAAGTGTTGTCTCATTGATGGCCTACAATGACGCCTACAATTGTGTTATATCAGCAGACGAGAATGGCATGATTGAGTACTGGCGACCAGGAGGAAATTACGAGAAGCCCGATAATGTTTTCGAATATAAGTCTTCCACTAATTTATTCGAATTTAAGAAGGCAAAATCAACACCCACTTCTCTTACAATTTCTCCAACTGGCTCGCAGTTCGCGACTGTCTCATTCCCCGACCGCAAAGTTCGAGTGTTTGACTTCCCCACTGGAAAATTATATCGTACCTACGATGAATCGCTGCAGGTTATCGAAGAAATGCAACAGGCAGGAACATCATTAAAGAAGTTAGAAGATCTAGAATTCGGCCGCCGACTTGCCACGGAACGCGAAATTGAAACACCAACCCTACGAAATAAAGCCAATGTTATATTTGACGAGACGGGACACTTCATAATATATGGATCAATACTCGGCGCAAAGGTTTTGAACACTTATACGAATCGAGTCGTGAAGGTCTACGGAGGAGATGAGAACTTTAGACCTCTTAATATTGCAATGTACCAAGGTCAACCACAAAAGAAAGGTGTTACAACGATTGCCATGGCGGCGTCTAACAATCCTCTTCTGCAGGAATCCGAACTTCGGGATCCGATATTATTTGCGACCGGAGTTGGAAAAGTGCGATTCTATATGTTCACAAACGATGAAGAAGTCTCCAAGTCCGAACGAGATGTTCAAAATGAGAAACCTACCAACACAAATGGGAAGAAATTAGCAGAGGCAAGAGCTGCCGAGACTGGAACAGCAGCTGTCATTCACACCACATACGGAGATATCCATATCCGCTTATTTCCCGATGCAGCCCCCAAAGCCGTTGAGAATTTTGTGACACATTCGAAACAAGGTTATTACAATAATACTATCTTCCACCGTGTCATTCGAAAATTCATGATCCAGTGCGGAGATCCATTAGGAGACGGTACCGGTGGTGAAAGTATTTGGGGCAAAGAGTTTGCCGATGAATTCAGTTCTCTCCGACATGACAAACCTTATACCGTTAGTATGGCGAATGCAGGACCAAACTCCAATGGTAGTCAATTTTTCATTACCACGGAAAAGACTGTAAGTTCACAACATGTCCTCGAGATCTTCAATTGATCATAAGACGTAATAAGTACTAATGAATATTATTTTCTTCTCCGTATAGCCGTGGTTAGACAACAAACATACCATTTTCGGAAGGGCAATTCAAGGTTTAGATGTTATTCATAAGATTGAAAATACGCGAGTGTATAAAGAGAAACCGGAGGAAGATATCAAAATTCTCAATATAGATATCATTTAGATATTATATAGAGGAGAACGGGAGGCAATTATTGTACCGATATTGGATTTGGACCATTCGAGACCTTGAGTCAGGTATTCACCTAGCGATACTAGCTAGCTAGAGAGAAAAATACCAAGATCATAAGTGAAGTTACTAGGAGATTTATTACCAACGGCGACAAGCTAGGACGTAAGCAAGTACATCCACTTTGTTCAATTATGTTCAATTATCCTTGATGTTAATCCGTCATTAGTCAAACATTTGAACTATCATTGGTCAATTGTTGATCAATGGTTAGATGTTTGGTCTTATCAGCATTAGGGCGTATTGGCAAAAGTAAATCATATCTATTATCTAATCGCAAATATATCAAGCTTCTTATTTTCTCCCCACCTTTCCACATCTTCTCCACAGATATCTATCCATCTTACCCATTCATCGTTTCCATCCCTCACTTGTCCAAGGCTTTATTACCAATTTTCAATTGCAAAGTGCACTTAAACACTTGACTACCTGGATAGACTTCAACTTAGACGTGTATTAATCCTTTCCTTGTTGGGAAATACAGAATCCTACTCAAATTCCATCCGTCCATATTGATCTTCTTTCCTTGGGACGACTTCTTTTCCTGATTTTGATCATTAGTATGTTGAGACAGACAAATACCACAGTGCTATCTACTAAATCTAAATTCAAATCCGATTCTACTTATGGCAAAAATCCGCGACAAATCAGATACTACCAACTTAAGTCAATGTCGGAAACCGGTATTGTCATTCGCTTACAAACTATTCGTTCATTCTCATCATGCCACGCCCAAAGAAAGTGGGAGCACCAGAACCTAAGAGGAGGAGCAGGAATGGATGTTGGTACGCTAATGGTAATGATGATTCATAGATTTTGGAACTGAATATATATATCACTCATAGGCCCTGCAAAGCTCGCAAAGTCAAATGCGACGAAACTCGTCCAACATGTGTGAATTGTTCGAAACTGAACGAAATCTGCGACTATAGCATACGATTGAACTGGGAGGGTCGAGGCAAGAAAAGGGCTCAAAGTGATATCATTACCACTGGGCAGAGTAATTTCTTGTCCTCGAACCAAACAACTCAAAATGCAAGTAATGACCCTTCGGCTTCGGGGTCGTTTACAAGCTTCCGCTCTTCCCCCGCAGTATCTGCGCATCATGATGAGCATCCAAGTCGCGACGACGGCGCATATGTGGAACGTATGGCCGATACATCGATGATCGATCCTGTCTTGACCAGACCTGCATATCCACCCATTGTAACTTTCCAAGAGGCATTGCCCAAAGATTATGGTCGCCAAAACCAACACTATCCTCAAAGCTTCGAACGATACCAATCCAGTGCCCCCATCACTCCACTTTCAGCCCAGTCACCTAGCCTGTCGATATTTGGCCACCTTCAAGTTGCTGATGAATATGGAAGTCCAATTTCAAACAGAAGCGCACTCCCAAGTACCGAAAGTCCATTGTCAACCCCTCCATATCTCGGAAGTGGTCATGGAACGCCAGCGACTGAAAGCTCTATAGCAGATCGACCTACTAAACGCACGCGATACGAAGGCTCACTTCATAGTGCACGAATGCTTCCCCCTTTAGTGTCCAATTCGGATCCCAAATACGACTCTCGAAATACAAACATCCATACATCCCAGGTAGAATCAGAATCAATACGCGGCGTGGATGTTGATAAGACCAAAGCTAGACCAAGTCGTGAATTCTCACGCAGACTCTCGGTGAATTCACTGTTGTCGGGACCGCTTGATGGAACACCCTCTGAGCAACCCAGCAATGGCAGAGGGTGGGATTACCAAAGTCAGGATTGGACACCGTACATGCATGATGTATACCAGGACACAGAAACATGGGGGATTGATCGAGGACTGGTGGACTTGGACATTGGTAAGAATGATGACATCAATGCAATATCGGAATCGTCTCCCAAGCTATTGGGAATTTACCAGGACTTTGATTTGGATAATGGAGGGGAGTTATCACCAATGGAATTTGGCTTCGGTATGGAAATCAATGAGACAGCCTTCGAAGTTGGATATTACGACAAACCGGTTTCGATATGTATACCACGCGTACTTCAACCACTGCCTGCGAAATTACTGGAAAATCCTATGAATCTACTTGTCAGTATTCTCACTATCAATCTCGATTTACCACTGACTGAATAACAGTATTTTGTAAGCCTTCTTTGCGCGAACTGGCTTTGAGCTGCACAACTAACCTGCCCTAGCATCATTTTCTGGATCATACAGCAGGCTGTCTGATACCACACAACTGTTCTTCTAATCCATTCCGGAGTATTCTGCCGCAGATGGCGGTTCGAGATGATGATTTATTACATCTTCTACTTGCGTACTCTGCCACACATCGGGCCAGACTCCTAAGACAACCGGAACCTGCTACTCGTATAGCTCTATGGGTTAAAGACATATTCCCTAACCTTAGGCACGCACTCGATGATCCAAATAAGATTACGTCGAATGTTAACCTTGCCACGGTAATCATGCTCGCATCTTTGGAGATAATATCTCCAAAGGTCTTTGGAGTTGCCGTTCCATGGCAGAAACACCTCGAGTTCGCAAGACAAATGCTCGTTGCCAGGGGTGGAGCCCATCGTATGCAAACTATATCCCGGAAAGATAAAGTCTCGTCTTTCCTATGGAGTTGGTTTGCATATTTGGATGTTCTTGGCAGTATGAGTGGAGGACAGAACCTTTCTTCCGCTTGGATGTTGGATTATGAAGCAGAAGATGAAGAGGATGGTTACCAGATTGACTGCATTTTAGGTTTCACTAGTCATTGCATTCGAATACTTGCCAAAGTTGCTAATCTTGCCCGTCAATGTGACGAGCGTCGCATC